GCAACCCAGATAGTTCAAACGAAGCAACGTCCAAATGAACAGACACGGCTAGAATACACAGATAGATTTTCTTAACTACTAATTCGAATGGTTGTTTCCTGCAAATGCCCCCTCCCAACAACTCACCTATAATCTCTCTTGGGAGGGACCAATCAACAACCACCTGTGTTTAATCATCTTCTGTGAGTCTGCCTACGGAGTTGCTTCCATTTCTCAGCTCTTCTCAATCTAACATCAGGGACAAACTGCCTTTCAACCTCCCCACTGCTCCATGCCTCAGGCATGGAGGCCAGCCAGCCTCTCTGGTCCCTGCTCTGAGTCTGAACCCTGCCCAGGGTCCTCCACATTGTTCAGGGCAGACTCATATGGTTCCTTGCTATCCGAGTCCATCAGCAGCTCAACCGGATCCTGCTGGGCCACAACAATTTGCTATGCTTTTTTTTTTTTTAACTTGCCTGCCAAATTTCTCCCTTAAATCTTTATTTCTGTTTGTATCTACTTCTTGGATGATCAATCTTGGTACTTCTCCCACCTCTACCCTCTTCCACTGCCTAACCCTAACCCTAAAGTTTCTACCCAGACCTCTGTCTCTTTCAGACATATCTTCCAACTCTCTTAATATATTTTCTCCCTGGTTTAATTCATCAATCGCTGTTATTTTCATTATTGTCATCTCTTTGTCTTCTTCCTTCATTTCTTTGGTTGAATCCTCCCTTTCCTGGGCATTTTGGTCTTTACCTATCCTTCCTCATATGGTATTTCCATTTTATTCCGTAATCTCCTTAAATCCTTTCTCTACGATGTCTTTGGTATTTTGAAAAAGCGAACCCATCTCCTTGAAATTCCAGTAATTTCTTCCTTATAAAATATCTTATTTTGTTTTAAAGGATTCAATTTTTGTTGAACAATCCAAGAACTATTTATTCAGTCTTAAATTTCCCTTCTAGGAGTGCACAAATCCCAGTTCTTTATATCCCATCCTTAAACACTCAGTCCCATTTAAATAGTCCCAAAGATTATCAAAAACCTCTTTACATCCTCTTTGCAGGTTCAATCTTCTGTCATAACATTCAAGTGTCCCTTTAATTAAGTAGTTTCCTCATTTTCATATTTGGGTCTCCAGTAGTCATTGGGTAACTCAAAATAATCCCATGGATTTTCCCTCGCCTTCATATAGGTATTTCTAAATTTGTAGTTTTCCTCTTTGTCAGTAGGTGCACTCTCCACTTAAATTTCAGTATTGTTAGTCAATCGTTATTTCTAGTTGTAAAACAATTATAAAAGCAGAATAAGTTTTGTAGATAAAATATTCCAGCATTTTAAAATGCCTTCCCAATGCCACTTCTTCCCAATTTAAGAGTCCAATTTCCTGTATATTTCAAATTTTATTATTTTTTTTCTCTTCCATTTCCAATCTAGTGTTTTCTCAGAATGCCTAGACACCCCTTTAATGCATAGTTCTGAGCAGATAATTCTAAATTATCCCTTGGGGTTAAATTTAAAGCAAACAGAAAATCCTCTCCCCCAGTTCCAGAACAGTTCACCTACTTTGTTCCAGCACCAGTCTTAATTGTTCTTCGGTTGTCCCAGCTTTGTGGCAGCCATCTTTAGCCTGTCTGTTCTTCTTGCCATGGCTGAGAGAGAAAGAAAAAAAACCCCAGGTTCAGACAGGAGAGCTGCAACTCTTTTTGACTTCACAGGGTGCCCCTCTTTGGTTCACCCCTCCTGCAGGGCAGCTTTGGTCCACAACTAGAAAGAACTCAGTACAGAGAACACGGAGACCTGTTCCCTGTGTCTAAGATCGCTGTGATGTCAACCGGAAGTCCTCAACCTTTGACATCTTGAAGATGTGTGAACTTCAAGTCCCACGATTCCCCAGCCAACATTTAGCTTTGTTGCTGCACTCCTGATTATACTGATGGACTTGAATATTTCACATACACACACACACACATATCCTTGCTCCAGTATTCAGTTTCAGAAGATCTGTCTAACCAATGAGACCAGTATTTCCATGTGGATTTAAATTAATTGTTTCTGTTAAGGCTGCCCACTTAATTATAGGGTTATTCTACTACTAATATTCCCTCTGATTCACAGCTACACAGGCCTCTTGAATATTTTCAGAGTTGCGTGTTTAAGTTGAATAGATCTAACTGGGGCGAAGAATATGACTATATGTTTTAAACATCATGCTATGACTAAAAAATAGCACAGCTCCTTAGCAGAGGTAGATGTAATGTCTCTAAGTAGAAAGTTAGAAAGAAATTAATGCATAATTATATCCAGAGTAACATAGTAGAAAAGCTACAAGAGAGCTTTCTCTTAAAGTTACATAGAGGGAACAATTACTGTAATCAAGACAAAGCATAATAAAATTGAAATCTCATTGTGAAAGTAATTGTGCAAGCTTAATGACAGAACTAGGTCAGAAAGACAATCAAGGATGAAAAACTGGGCTTCCCTAACCAGTGAAAACTTTGTACCAAGATACTAGGTTCTGTCAGATGCATTTTGTTCTTTCTCCTTTCTATGTCTTGCATTGCATATTTACCTAACCTTTTGCCCAATTTATAACCAGCCTCAGAGGTCCGGAAAATCCTCACTTCCTAGAGGATGCAGGAAGTGGGGGAAGCAGTATGGTTTGAATTCCTGCTTATCTGTTTCTCAGAGAGGCCGGTACAAAAACATCTTCACAACTGTGGATTGGTGGGAATCCACATTAGGAGGGGTTCCTAAGTCCCTTAATCATGGATTGTATAGCCTGAGGGTCCCAGAGCATGCTTTTGATGTTGATTTGCTTTCACTTCTTTTCAATAAAAGATTCCTTCTGAAATACCAGAGTCTACACTTTTTTGAAGGAATGGCGAGGCAGGTCAAAAATTTTGTGCTGTTTTTGTTCTGAATAATCTTAAATGATTAAAATTATTTTCAATGCTGATGTGTAAAAAATGCAATAAGCAACGTAATAATTCAAAAGTCTGAACCCAGAATTTTGTTCATACATTGTTGTTGTATCTTAACCTTCAAATGGATTTGCATTATGGCCCTAGTCAATTAACTTTTGCTTAAGAGAAGCAAGCTGCAAAATTAAATTAACCTTTTGAATGCCCATGTACATTTCTTTAGGTAGCTGATCGTTTATTTTCATCTTTTGGACAAGATATCTTGGATGCTCTCTATTGGACTGCAACAGAACCAAAAGAAAGGAAAAGAGCACACATAGGGGTCATTCCCCATTTCTTCATGGCAGTGCTGTATGTCTGTATCCTTTTGTGTTATTTCAGGATCTGTGTACGTAGTTTCAAAAATTTATAAAAGTGTAAAGAGGGCAACAAATCCAGAAAGGAAACAAAGGAGCTCTAATAATACAGTAAATTGAAAAACTTAGTTTGCAAGGAAAAAATAGAATGGCAGCCTATTTTCTCTGGACCAATTCTTTCCTAGGATGTACAGTTTTAGGCAATTTCTTCATTCCACTGTACAAATAAATCTAGGCATCACTGATTCTCCTTTCCTTGGTCATATGTGGTAGCTGTATGACCTTAGAAGAAATGGCAGTAGTCAATATAAATAGAATAGTTGTTCTGAACCTTTACAAAGGTAAACAAGTGTAAACAGAAGTTTAAAAGTTATTTTAACGGGTTCTGTGAATTGTTCTTATAAAATAATAATGAAGATTCTTGAAAACTTATTAATTATTTTTCCATCAAAAGACCCATGAGAATTGAGGGAACTATTGAATAGTTGACTGGATTTGAGGAGTATGAAGGAGAGTTAAAGCTTTCCCTGAAGATACAAATGGGGTTCTCTGTGTTGGAAAACCTGCATAAGTAAGAAAAAAACGGGTGGATGTGCTTTTGTTCCTGTAAAGGACTAACTGTTCAACTTGGTGGGTTCCAGTCTCATTATTATCTGAGACACATGTTAGCAGTGGCTAAAGTGGTACTTTTTTTCACAGTCTAGCTTGCTCACTGGCTGTGCTAAATCTCTAGGTTGCTAATCCTAATTCAAAATACTTCATTTAACTTAGTTTCAAAAGGCCTTTACACATTATTTAAATCTGTCCATCCATAAATAACATACTTTACAGATTATTGTTGGATGATAAACAATTTTGGCATGTATTAGAAGCATTTCAGTGATGATTGAAGTTTTGGAGTTTACTTATAATAGGCTGCCTGGTATATTATATAACATTTAGTACTCTTCCTCAATGCTGCCTTGATTAATGCCAACAAATAAAAGCTTTTCTTCATCCTTCTTACTTGCTTAATTTTCAAACTTCTCTTTGATATGTCATCAAGAAGCACTCAACTTAATAATTAAATGACTTATGATCTAAAATAGTTTCAGTTTCTTCTGAAGAAGGCAAACTCAACTCCATTTCAGCCATGTGCACCGTCAGAGCTGATAAAATAGTGTCCCCAAACCAATATAGGGAAGAGCCTGGTGCCGAAGCCAATGATGGATGCCAGATATGAGGTGCAGGTTTTCTGGTTGCTTTTTATTGGAGTACTCCAAGGAAAAGGGCTCCTGGCCCAAATGCCAAGAAAAAACGATTAAGTAAGCTTTATACGTTTTCACCAAAGGAGAAGGTGGGACAAGGCAAGATAATAAGAAATATCATCTAATAAACATTTTTGTAATAATTCTACAATTTGTTCTATTGGTCCCTACCTGTCCCTATTCCTAAGCCTTGGCTAATTAATGTCCCAGGATTTTTGTAATACGCATTTCATTTGCTGCAGGCTATCTCTGTTACTAACTTTTAGCTGAGGTCTGCAAGTTGCCTAAATCTTGTTATTTTTATCAATTTTCTAACTGCCCAGAACTGCTACAAGCTTTACACATGCATATATCCTGTGGATAAGCATTCTTTGTTCTTGCCAGACAGACTCCACAATTACAGTGTTCCTGATTTACTTTCAAGTGTGTGCCATGATCTTGCTTTATTTTAACAGACAGCCCATCAATGGGTAATCCCAAACCATGGTTTTGCTATATTAAAATAAGCATGCATAATTCTTTGTGTTGTACCCTCATTCTTCCTTTACATGAAAAAATTAGCAACTTTTCTCTTTTCTGGGAAAGGATACTTTAGGTATGCTGGTTTGATGGTGCTATATTTTTGTTTTACTTTTTCTTATTGCTAACATTTTCACTTGTTTCGTTACTTAAATTGTTTCATTGGTATCTTTGTTTTGGTGTCATATTTTCTTTAGTTATGCCACATGAGTCCCACAGAAAAGCAGCCTATGTATTTAATTAAAAATATAAAACTAAATTATAAGACTGATAAAGAATGCCTCCACATGATTTTCGTACTACAGTAAAATTATCCATTGGGTCTATACAAATCAAGAAACGTGCTTTGCAATGAACAGATCATTGAAACAGTTGCATTTTTCCCAGATTCAGGCAGTTACTTCATGAACTGCTCCTGGCTGTCTCCATTGGTGTACATATTTACACACCAATGCTTTGATTTTTTTCCAGCAGACCAAAGTGGCAAAGTGTGCCCAACCATTCAGTCACAGCCAGGAACAGATAGGGAAGATGCTATAAGAGTTTGGGGGCAGAAAAACCATGGTGGCTTACAAAGGATTTGCACATCACTGTTGTTTTTAGAGGGTTTTTTTTTTTTTTTTTTAGAGTTTTATTTGGCATTTATAGGCAGCCCTTTTCCCTGAGGGGACTCAGGGCGGCTTACAACTCGTGGGTGGGAGTGCAAGACAAAACAAAAAATGTGAATAAAAAAATAAAACAGTAAAACACAACATTCATTCAGCATTCGGGCGGGGCGGATTAGGATCTTATCCCCAGGCCTGATGGGATAGCCAGATCTTGAGGGCTGTGCGGAAGGTCTGGACGGTGGTGAGGGTACGAATCTCCACGGGGAGATCGTTCCAAAGGGTCGGAGCTGCTACTGAGAAGGCTCTCCTCCNTGTGAATGCCCCAACACTGGAAGTCTTTAAGAAGATGTTGGATAGCCATTTGTCTGAAACGGTATAGGGTTTCCTGCCTAGGCAAGGGGGTTGGATTAGAAGATCTCCAAGGTCCCTTCCAACTCTGCTATTGTATTGTATAAAAGTTTCTGGTTTCATCTTTATCTTTATTTTAAGAATTTTCTGCATTAAAATATGAATCTTACTCCAAAATTTCTTTGCTTTATTGCATGTCCACTATAAATGAAAAAGATCATTTCATTACATTTACATTTCCAACATTAATTTGAAATACCTTTATACATTTTAAATAACTTATTGAGTGTTAAATACTAGCAATACAACATCTTATAAATTTTTTCTTTTAAATTATAGTTTAATGTGAATGTTAAACCTTTTGTTCACATATTTTCCCATTGTTTAAGCATCAGATTATATGCAAAATTATTTGCCCACTGAATCAAATAATGTTTTACATATTCACTTTACAAATTCAGTTACAGTAATGTTTTATAAACCTTAGCAATAATATATTCATCACTGTAAGTCCTTTTTAATATCATTCCAAAGAGGCACATAATTATTTTGAAACAATTTTATATTTGTGTTTATCAACAAAGCCTCCAAGTATTTTACCTTTTTCTCAACCTTAAAACCCTTTTTAGTTAATATATCACTATCTTGAGATGACATATTTTAATCAACGTTGTTTTTTGTTCCTTGATTTTAAAACCCGCCAAAATCCCAAACTCATTTAATTTGCTCAACAAATATTCTGTGTTATTTTTTGATCTTGCAAGAATATAACCAGATCATCAGCAAATGCCCTCAATTTATAAACTTCTCTCTTGATAGTTATATCCATTATTTTCTCATCTTGCCTCATATCTGTTCAAAACTTCTAACACCAAGGTAAATAGTAAAGGAGACAAAGGGTATCCTTGTCTCTTACCATTTTGAATTTCACCTGAGTTCGTTAAATCATCACTAATGATAATTTTTGCTTTCTGTGACATGCTCTGACTCCTTGAATAAAGTTCTCTCNCCCCCCCCGTGACATATAATTCTTACTATTCAAAAAGTGAACTCCTATTTACACAGAGGAAGCCTAAAAGGCCATTAACTTGGTTTAAACAAGGTTCCAAAGAACATGGCATCTCCATGAAAGAGAAAAATAAAAGAACAAAAGACAGTAGAAGTACTGAGGAACTTAAAAAATAATAGTATGAAAGGATATGAAAAAACAGCAGTTTCAAAACATAAGAGAATTGAAATGCATAAATATAGAATAATTTTAATGAAAGTTTTTTGTAATACTTTGACCATATTAATTACTATACATCTTAAAATAAAGGTGCCTAACAAATTCAAAATACAATTTGAGCTCACCTCAAGATCATATTTACAACACAATTTTATGCATGTCTCCTCAGAAGTAAGTACCATTGTCTTCTATGGAGCTTACTCCCAGGAAAATTGTAGGATTGCAGCTTTAGACTACTTAAGTAGTTAAGTAGACTCCAATTTAGTAAGTTTCATTCTCAAGTCTCCTTGGTCAGTGATATCCAGTCAATTTCTTTTCTTCAGTAGCAAATCATTTACAGCACAAAAGCCACATTCAGCTAAATATGAAGATGGGAATGGTAACAGCAGTTTTCTTGCAAAATAGGTTGGATTTAGGTATTTAATTTCTGTCTCACCCAAAGGAAATTTTTAAAACATTCTTTGCTTAATTTATGAATAATAAGATTGTCATGAAGAAAGGGAGGTTCTAACCTATGATCCCCCCCTACTCTCCCACTCTATTTGAACCTGCAGCTTAGTGGGGAAATGCTTTGGTACTTTAGTAGGTGGAGGTAATCACACACGCCTGGCAAGGCCTTTGCATGGTCCAGCCCCAGTTTGCTCTGAGAGGAAAGGTCTTGTAAAACATAGCCTGGGAAAACACAGACTAAAAGTAACTGTAAATCTAACAAGTTCTTACTTAAACTTGGGTCCTGGTTCTGTATGCTCACTGCTGGGTTTCCCCCAGCAGCCATCCACTCTGTCTCCCCACAGAACAGCTCTCCCTGCAATCACCCAGCAGCAAAGCCCACAGGAAAGAGAGAGAGAGAGAGAGAATCTGCCTGTCCCATGATCCTTAGTGGGAACACATCTGATTGGCTGGCAGTTGCTCCCTCCCCCCCAGCTGAGATATCTTTTTCAAACCATGCCCTAGGAAATGCACTTTCACAAAGACAACAATAGGTAAATGAAACAACAGCTGTTTCATCACAAATATATAAGAACAATTAGCGGGCTTTCAAAAAATTCAGTTAATAGCTCATTTTTTAATTGCCCCCATTAAAAATCAAATCCCCCCCTCCCCGTGTGGCATGGGCCCCACATTGGGAACCACTGTCTTAGAGTAAGATCTAAATGGCGGCTAACTTGACATATACAACTGTCAAAACTGTATGTCATTTAGCTATAGATATTTATTGGGTTTGCTTGGCCTGCTGTATCAATTGCAAAATCCAAAGAACCTATAAACAGCAGCCCAAAATTGAGAACTTGGATTTCTGAAACCCAAGTATGGTAACTCTAATTTTATTCATAAGAATATGCAAATCCATTTATCATTTTAAAAGTCATGCGAGATGTTACAAATTTTTGAAAGCCATTGATTCAGTATCAGTTTGGCCCAACCAACAATCTTGACCCCCTCCAATCCTTTTAACCACTTAATTTGCTAAATTTACTGCATGCCTGGAAAGGGTGGCAAACTCTATAAATTATTTACCTTAATAAGTCACTGCCAGGCTGAAGAATAGAGGAAAGGAAGGAAACAGAATTTTTCTGCAACTTTTTGCCTTGAGGAACTGAAGAAAAAGTTTAGCTCTAAAGAAAAAGCAGCTATTGCACAAATTTGCACCAAACGGCCCTGGCAGAAGCTGGGTCCTAAAGGCAGCCAGATGGGCAGCAAAATGTTTTCCAAAGGTTTCCATGCTTTTTCCTGCCTGTTGACTGTCTTTTAAGAAATGTGGGTTTCTGGCTGTGGGTTAAGTGAAAAGTTTTGGGAAGCTGGTCCTGCAGCTGCTGCCTTTGCATCTAGGCAGCTGGCTTCCCTAAAGCTAGCAAAAGCCATGAGCCAGTCTCCTGATGACCAGTTAATTAATCTCAGTAGAGATCCAGCCCATAAGGATGGTTTCATTACCTAAGCATGGAGCCTTGCTTGGAAAGCTTTCTGGCATTGTAATGTAATCTAGCTGGGGTCTTCCCACTTGCTGGGCTATTTTTGGCTTTGCAGAGCTTTTTGCTGTTTGTCTGCCCCCTTTTTACACCCAGCTGGGTGATGGGCCTCCCAAGGCCTCCCTCACCTATGGGGTACCCTGTGCTGGCTTAACAGTCTGTGTTTATTTAACAGTGGCATTAGGGAGAGCAGGGGGAGTTATTAAATAAGGTTGTTTCAACAGTTGTCATCACTTGCAACTATAATGGGTAGGCTCCATTACAGGCGTAGGTTGAGGACTACCTGTATGAAATTATGAGTGGTTTGTTTGCCTTCCTCCTGGATCTTCGGTATAGTAGGCTTTTAGGAAACTGGAAACTTATGTAGAGTTAAGAGATAATTACTATTATTACTGTCATCATTATTTTAGATATCAAAGAGAGATTCACCAATTATGTGCTGTTACTGATAGTTTGCCTAAGAAATATGGAACAATTTTCATGGAACCCAGGTAAATACTTTAGACATAAACATTAAAATGAAATATTGCAGATATGTTCATATATTATCATCATCATATTAGCCATTGTCTATCCACTACAGGATGACGGCCTCTTCTGTATGTTTCCAACCAATACAGTTCTGAGCTTTCTTTTGCCAGTTGGGCCCGCAATACTTGCTGATGTTCATATATATTAATTGTCAAACATGTATTTGTTTGTTGCAATAATAAAATGATATTGTTTCCTTTATTTTTTTCATTTAATTTTAATTTATTTTTAACTTTATTTTTTATTTCTTTGTACTGTGTATTTAAACATTTTATTAGATTATAGAATAAAATACAAAAATATGAAAGCAAATAATAGGACACAGTGGGGAGGGAAAGGAGAAAGAAAAGTGAAGAGGGGAGGAACTTCCAACTCCCTCTGTTGCAGTAGAATAAAGCATCAACATTGAACCTCAACTTTTTACTTTTCCAAAATAATATAAACTAGCCATTTCTATAACAACAAATCAATCTAATCAGTAAAACCCAAAAAGTTTCATTTTTTTCCATCTCAATCACAATGTCCAGAAGTGGTCTCCAGGTAGCAACAAAACTACTTATATTCTTTTCTTTAATCAAAGCAGTCACTTTAGGTATCTCTGCCAGCTCATCAACGTCTGTAGCCATTCATCCATGGTGGGAATCAAAATGTCCTTGCATTTTGGGGCATACAGTTGTCATGCTGCCATCAACATATATAAGATCAAATTCCAAATTTTCTTTTCTAAGTCTTTTTCCATTAAACCCAGAAGAAAAGAAACACAGCAGCTGGCTACAAGGGGGGAATCAGAGAGACAAAGAGGAGTAGGTAGTGTCCCTTTAACTCCATTTCATTTGAACTTTCCTGAGGCTGATGATTGGAGCTGCTGGCTACGCGGGGGGGGGGCGGGGGTGTCAGAGAGACAAAGAGTAGTAGATAGTGGCCCTTTAACTCAATTTCATTTGAACTTTCCTGAGGCTGGTGATTGGAGCTGCTGGCTACAGGGGGGGGAATCAGAGAGACAAACAGGAGTAGGTAGTGTCCCTTTAACTCCATTTCATTGAACTTTCCTCAGGCTAATGATTGGAGCTGCTGGCTACAGAGGGGGAAATCAGAGAGACAAAGAGGAGTAGATAGTGGCCTTTTAACTCCATTTCATTTGAACTTTCCCAAGGCTGGTGATTGGAGCTAACGGCACGCAAATCATATATCCATAAACCAAAATAGCAATAATACATTCTAGATTAGTGCGCTTAAAATTGTGATTTTATTTTATTTCAAAATGACCGGCTTAGTTCAATGTAATAGTTGTTTTGCACCTGTCTTTCGCAGTACTCTTTTCAAATTTGGATACTGTCCCCTTTGTAAACAAATTACTAGTCTACATAGATAGACTACCTATCTAGAATCTCTAATCTGTNGAGGGCCCACCGCTCGCCCGAGCTTACCTTGCACCGTACCAGTTGCAATGGGATCCGGAACCCACCACTGAGCAAAGAGTTTATAAAAAGGTAAACCTGCTCATGCTAGTCGTTTCCGGCTCTTGGGGCACTGCTCATCTCCGTTTTAAAGCCAAAGAGCCAGCGCTGTCCGAAGACAATTCCAGGGTCATGTGGCTGGGATGACTCATCGCCGAAGGCGCATGGAGCACTGTTATCTTCCCACCAAAGTGGTCGTATTTTTCTACTTGCATTTTTATGTGTTTTCGAACTGCTAGGTTGGCAGAAGCTGGGACAAGTCACGGGAGCTCACTAGGGATTCAAACCGCTGAACGGCCGACCTTCTGATCAACAATCTCAGCAGCTTAGCTGAGAATTTATAGTCCTTGTTTAATAATGAAATTGCTCTGTAATTCTTCATCTTTGTAACATCTTGACCCTCCTTCGGTAACAACACAATATTAGCTTCCTTCCACATTTTAGGTATCTTTCCTCTTTTAATGGTTGAATAAGTTCATCCGCAAAGCACTTATCGTATTGGCTCATAAGGCCATCTGGGCTTGGAGCTTTACCTGTTTTTATTTTTTAATGGCTTCTGATATCTCAAAGGCAGTTATTGGATCATTCATAAGTTGCCTCTGAGTTTGAGATAATTTAGGTAGCTGTTGTCTTAAAAGATATTTATATATTAGACATATCTAACTCCTGTCTTTTATACAAATTAGTATAAAAATCATGAAAAGACTTTTTGAGAAATTTATTTTCTGTTATTATATTGCTGCCTTCAAAAATTTTCTCAATCATTCTCTTTTCCCTTTTCTTTCTTAATTTATATGCCAACCATCTCCCTGATTTATTTGCAAACTCAAAGTGTCTTTGTTTAGTGTACTTCAGTTTTGTTTCTATTTCTTATACTGTTAACATGGAGAGTTGTAGCAGTTTAGTTTCATGTAAAGTTTTAGAATTCGTCAGTGTCTTTTGCAATTTGATTTCTCTGTCTGATTTCATTCAGTATCTTTTGCGTCTTTCATGGGATTTTTTCTTCTCTAAGCAATTATACTGTATAAAATAACCCCTCATAACAGCTTTAATAGCATCCCACACAGGCGTTAAACTTGTCCCTTTACCTAAATTATTATCAAAGTATTTGTGTAATTTCATATAGGAATGGATTTCCAGAGGAAAAATTGCAGACTGCAGGAACTAGGAACACTACTCAGGTGACCCTGAGGACACAGATAAATCTCCAAGTGCTTCAAGGAGCCTCTAAAAGGATGCAAATTATCAGCTGTCTGCAAGGAATATAATTCCTTCCATTCCCCACCATCCTGTCAGAGCTGAAGAAGCTTCTTGGATAAGAAGTGAAAAGTCTTCAAAAGAAAAAAACAAGAAAGTCCAGTTGCCTCCTGAAAAAACAGCTTTGGGATATTCGTGTAGTTCTTTTTAGAATCTTTTACTATCATTTCCTTTTGAAAAATAGATTCATTTAATCTCCATCTGAAGTTCAAACTATTTCCTACTACTACCAAAAGCACTGAATTATGATCAGAAAAGGATTTAGGTAAAATATCTACTTTTAAAATCTTATTTGCAAGGTTTTTAGTTCATATCATATCCTTGAAAAAGATTTGTCTTTCTGAAAAAAGGTATATTCTCTGGAATAGCCATTTTTATACTCCATGAATCTTTTAGTGTTAAATTGTTGTTCATCTCAAAAAAGGTCTTTGGTAATTTATCCTGGAAATGTTTAAACAGATCCAAAGTAGTAGATCCAAAGCTGGTATAATTACTCAATTCAAATCCCCCAACAAACTAATTTTCATTTGAAAAGGGTAATAATTGATCCATCAGATTCTTTTAAAAGTCTTTTATCATCATTTGGCCTGTACACGCCAACCACTATTGATTTTATTCCATTAAGTTCAATTTCCACTATTACAAATCTACCACGTTCATCTGCTATAAGTATTTTAGGTTTAAGTTGAGGCTTTATGTATAGAACAACTCCATTAATCTTTTTTAAATCAGCAGATATTTATTTATTTATTTTTCACTTTATTCTTTATATCTTTGTATTGCCATTGGATATTAAGTTCTGACGGGTACATAATTTTAATTCCTTCTTTTACAAGTTATTGAAGTGCTTTTAGTGACATGATAACAAATGACTATGCCTTGTATTTTGCTCTGCTCCATTCAGTAGAGCACAATTCATCAGTATCTTTGGTTATATGCAATTTCACCCTTGTACTGATCAGATTTAGGACCCTGATAATGTCCTGATTCAGATTTTGCCTGCATTCTATTAAATATTTTCAGACTTCGTTTTTAAGAATATGGATTAAGGATTCTATTTTGCATATATTGGGGGGAATGCAAAATAAGACATTCCATCTATGTTTAGATCATTTCTTTTTGTTCCAGACCAAGTTTATTCCTGTGAATTCCTTCCTTCTTTTATAGATCATTTGTGGGTATTGTTCCCTGATGTCTGCATGGTGATTGCATCAGAAGTTGCTGTTGATATTGTGAAACATGCTTTCATAACCAAATTCAATGACATCACAGCTGATGTAAGTATATACTTAAACATTTCCAAATGATTGGACCAAATCTGCTTTAGGTTTTATAGAAGAAATGAGGGAAATATTACCTTGCCTTTCTCACCTGTGCATGAGTTACTCCCATTGATTAAAAATAGCTAAATATACCATACTTCTTTTTTTAATGGAATTAGATCTTACAAAATTAATTAATTATTATAGTTACACTTAGATTGGGGCTGTTCCTAAAGGCAGGCTCCCTATGTTGAGTTCTTCCCACATATTTGTACTATGGAGCAGTGTTTTCGAGAGCAGTGCTGGCTGGGAAATTCTGGGAGTTGGAAGTCCACATATCTTAAAGTTGCAAAGATTGAGAAACACCAAAATAGAGAACTATCTGCATATTAAAAACTTAAAAGCTAACTTGTAAACTTAACTGATAGCATAGGTTGGGGATAGGAAAAGACAGGGGTGATTATGTTGTTAAACATGGAAAAATAATCCAAGCTGATTATAGGAGAGAGATACAGCAATCGCTTGTTCCTTCTGCTCAGATTTACAGCTAAACAAACTTTTTTTGTCACCTTTTATTCGCTTATCTCTTGGTTCTGTTCTTGAGCAAGATTTTAATAAAGAACTCTGCCTAATATTAATACTTCTGTCCTCAACTTACAGACATAACTGAGCTAAAAAATCACAAAATGGACCACCACATAACGCCAAATGTTATGAAGTTATTTGCAGTCATTATGTGAGGATGCAAATAGCCATAATTATTGACCCATTCCAGGTGCCCAAAATGCAATCATGCAATCTGGGGGAGGAGGAGGAGGAGGGAAATTGGAACTTTGAATCTGGATCATAAGTAGCCTGGGGAGGTCTGTTGTAACTTTGAGCAGTCACTAAGTGATTGCCGTTAAGTTGAGAACTGCTATACTTTTTTTTTTATTGATTTTTTTTAAATTGTATTTATCCCTTTATTTATCCTTTTAAACAAAATATATGTCTTTTGTTACAAAATTGAAGTACAAAAGAAATAGGAAAAGGAAATGTTGACGCACAAAGATGAAAAAGCAAGATGACACTGTATTTCAATTTATAAAAACCTAGTGAAAATGAGAAAAAATGTACTCTAATTCCAACTATAATGACTTTGAAGCCTCTAAATGTTAGGGTCTGTCTGTACCTGGCAGGCTGGGGAAAGAGGCGCTGTTCACTGAAAGCAGGTTACAGAATGGTTATTTTTCTCTCTCTTCGTCAATTCACCCAGCTCATTTGTCCTATGTGTAGAAAGAGAAGATAAGAAAACCTGCATTAAACGTCTGGGTGTTATTAGGGGCATGTCAAGCCCAAGAAAGGGTTTTGACCCCTGCCTGGAGCCAACAAACTTGGTTCTTGCATATTTCTTACTTCCTTTGAGTGGATTATCTACACACTTCCTCATCTTCTATCCTCCTTTTAAGAACACAAACATATACCCCACTATTATCCCTAGTCCAATTGAAGCAACCAAATAGTGTTATTTCTATCTGACTTAGGATTTTGATTTCTGCAGATGCTGTCCCTGGCTACATGAATATTCAAAAGCAAACGGACTGAAGGGTTTTCATATGCACATTTATCTTTTCTCTCTAATAATAAGTGTCTGCTATTAATCTGTCAAATGACTAATAAAAGGATTTGCATATGTTATCCTGTCCACAGGTTTACAGTGAATACAAAGCCAGCCTTGCCTTTGACTTTGTTAGCAGTCGGCAGAAAAATGTAAGTGTTGGCTTGTAGTTTTATACAAATCTTTTTTTTAAAATTCAGTACTGAGAAATGTGCACATTTAATTAGATTTGCTTGCAATTTAATTTTACATTAGGAAGAAACTAGAAAAGTATTGCAATTGGAGAGATCATCATATGTAACTTGGATCTCTGTGTGAAGTTGAACTTCCAAGGACATCCCTGTGGCCACAAGCACCTGATTTAATTTCCAGTATTCCTAGGAAATGCCTTTCACTTGCACTATTTATGTCATAATGAACTAAGAATAAAATATTATAGGAAGTAATTAAACCTAGTTTTAAAACCATTCAATGCTGTACCTGTTAATTTGTATGATCCATCCCAGGGCCTTCCATTAGATAATTTAGAAGTATCAAAAAAATACTCCTAATGACAAAATGGACATATTTTTGTCACTTTTGTGGCAACAGTTATGGAAATAGATGGCCATTTACTTCTTCCAGTATTTACTTCAACTGCTCAGGGTGGCTTGCAGATTTATTGCTTCCTGATGCTCTCCCATCAAAGTACTAACCCCATCAAATTTCCTTGGCTTTTTTCAGCCAGGTTCTGCCCCTGAACCACTAATATATGCTGATCAGTTGTGAACTGACTTTTAATTCTCTTTATGAGTTTGAATTTAAAGTAAATAAATTTGCAATATGTAATAATGTAAGGTAATAATATGTAATTTGCAATTCCGTAAACAGACTTCCAAGACTTCATAGTACTTCAATGTTTTGCCTGTTCCCGTGCTTTTTTTCATAGTTTGCTCTCTGCTCTCTACCTCCAGGCATATACAGATTACAGTGACTCTGTATCCAGGAGAATGGGCTTTATTCCACTCCCACTGGCTGTTTTAGTAAGTCATGTTTTTTCCCCACGTAGTCCCTAGTGAAAATTGCCCCAGGGGATCAAATAATATTTTCCTGAGCATGTTAGTTAATAAAAATAAAATAATATTGACTCTTATTTTAAAATTTGGATAACTCTATACTGTAATTTTGGACTTGGTGAACAAGATTTTCAGGTTAAATTGAGATGGCTCTCTGTCCTGGGTTAGAGTGTGGTTATTGTATGTTATTGAAATAAAATTGTGTGCTTCTGCTATATGTTAAAATAATTTAACATGGGGTATCTTAAATGTTAAATTATATTTAAAATAACTTAAACAATTTCAACTACACATTCATGCTGTCAGCATTCCAAATATCATGCAGAATTAAATCAGAGTCCAAGGCAGAGCTATCCTTAAAGTGCCAATTTAATAAGACAGATATGTTGGCACATCTGTGGAAATCCCAAATGTAAAGCTTCCTGGGATTCCACCCAGTTGAAAGTTCATGATCTTATCCTCACACCCATAAATCTATCACATGGTCCAATCTTCTTCACCCACACTGGCATTTCCACCCATCTAGTTCCGGTCAGATGCAGAGGTGCAGAGACAAAAGATGACCTTGAGCTTCTAGAAAGGGATGACAACAATACATTCTACAATTCCACTCCTTACTATTCCCCCTCCCAATTACTACACTAATGAAACAGCATAGGAAAATAAAAGAGAGTGTGACAGGCCAAAGATCCCAAAAGGAATATAACTGCAGGCCTGACACATGCCTTTTCAGAAATAATTAATAATAATAACTCAGAAATAATTCCCTGTTATTTCTCTTTCTAGCTTATCAGAGTTGTTACAAGTTCTGTAAAAGTCCAAGGGGTCTTGTCCTATTCCTGTGTAATTCTTTTCTGTTGTGGGTAAGTGTGAATCAAATAATTGTGTAAAGCTTATCTGTAGGTATATCAGAATACCAAAACATGAAACATAAAAAGTTCTTACAATAAAGTTCCATTTTGTTATTAAGAATATATCAGCACCATAGAGTTGGTAATAAAATATTAAATACAAAGATTTAAGGTTTTACTATATAAATAAAATGTTTAGAACTAAAATTTCTTAATCGTGGTGATTATAGCTTAATCACACAGGTTAAATATACTTTGTCCATTGAGCTTTTAAGAAAATATTTTTCATTAATTAAATACAATATGTGATGAAAAAGAGTACACAAAATTAGAAGAAAAAAGAAAAGAAAAGCGTACAAGATATGTATACTTACAGACATACACATATTAATAAACTGATGCCATGATTTATTAGTCATCCATGATTGATCTAGAATAATCAATTCTGCAAACTGCTCAATAGTTGAAAGCCACATAGAACAGAATAGAACTCTCTATTGGCCAAATGTGATTGGACACACAAGGAATTTGTCTTTGGTGCATGTGCTCTCAATGTAGATAAAAAGGCAAGATACATTCGTCAAGAATCTTAAAATTCTTGTTTTAAAAGATAAGATGTTTATGTCTCCAACGTTGGACAATAAGTCCTTAATATGTTTATTTTCTCTTTCCAAAAGTCAACTACCACTTTAAAACATGCTTCCGATTTGCTTGTTTGTTTGTTTATTGAATTTTTGTGCCACCCATCTCTAGAAAGTTACATTTCTAAAGAGGGTAAAATGTATTTCACAGAAGTATTGCCCACCATAACCTTTATTTTGAAAGCAAATGCTGCTACTTTTAATGGAATTAATTTTCCACTAATTACACTTGATGTCATAACTTGGTATCAGTGCTCAATTCATGATTTAGTTAAGATTTCCAGGCTTGGCAAACTATTGAAGAGGGAATTTCATGATGAATAATAATGGGAAATCATAAAATAAAATACTTTATCATCGTTAGTACACTCTTATGCAGCTGATTTGAACATAGCAGGTATAAACCTCTCTATTCTTGGGTGTGGAAATACAGGGAAAGTTGTATGAATGCATGTTTGCCTGCCCTGCTGCCCCGACACACTCAATAATGCAGGGTATTGATGTTCGGATATGATGGTAATATGCTGCATGATAATTATTGGGAGGCCTCCTTGAAGTTGGACTCAGTAGCACCTGCCCCCCTCATCTTTAAGAACAGCACTGGTAGCTGGGTAGTGGTTCTTCATCTGCCTCAGCCAGCTTTTTGCGAAAAACAGGACCATTTGTCCACACAGCTTGGTCCAGGTAGTCAAACTCATCTGAAGCCCCTTCTTGGACGCACATCAAATTCTTTACCAAAATGAATCCAGGCTCCCTGGCACAAATTTAATAAGTTTGTTCTACATTTCTAGTTAATGCACAGCAGATTAAAATAGTGTCTATGTGTTGTCCTAATAAACAGCTTGAGGAAGCCTCTGGGGGAGGTGAACCTACTCAGGCCATGATATCTAATCCTGTGCACTTATTGTTTTCAGTTTAATATCACTTAAGGTACTTAACAGCATTGTATTGCTGGGAAAGTCCTGCCATTATGTCAAAGAAGCAAACATGGAGGAGAAGTTGTTCAACCCACCTCCTTCCAGCACCCCAGGAAAATCTGGTGGCAAAGCACAGAGCAAGTACAAGTCTCCTCAAGGTAAGTAAAATGTCAAAATGCTGATTCCAGTATTAAATAGAGGCATGACTGGTAGCATCTAAGGAGCTAAATCTTAATAGTTCTGAATAAAATCAGCTTTAGACTTTTTCCTCTTAAGAAGAATGAATTTTGCAGGGTTTGAAGTGCATATGAACCCTCAGCAGTCCTTTTATTGCTTCAGAGTCCTCAGATCACTACATACCGTGTTTCCCCGAAATTACAACATGTCCTGATAATGCCACATTTTTCTGGTGGTAAAAAATATAAGCCCTCCCCCGCAAATAACCCTCCTGGACATCCCTCCACCTCCAGCCAGGCAGAGCCTACCAGCCTCACGATGCCCTGGCCCAGCTCTCTCCGCAGAGCCAGGGGACTTCCGCCGCTGCCGCATGGCTTTTTCTGCGACTTCCAAACTGACTCTTCTGGCAGTGGCCGCTCTGGGCGTACGCTCTATGGTTGTACTCTGTGCTGGCAGTTGGCCCACAATCACAGAGCATACGCCCAGAGTGGCCACTGCCAGAAGACTCAGTTTGGAAGCCGCAGAAAAAGCCATGAGGCGGCAGCAGAGGTCCCCTGGCTCTGTGGAGAGAGTTGGGCCAGGGCATCGTGAGGCTGGGAGGCGCGTGAGCGAGAGCGGAACAGCCGCTCACGCAACCCCCCCTCTCCAGCCATGCAGAGCGCCATTCACTGCCATTTCGAAGGCGCCAAGCCGCGGGAGCCGGGTGGCAGCGAACGGGCGCTCACGCGGCTTGGCGATACCCCTAGGTCTGAATGGCGCTGTGCCCGGCTGGAAAGGGAGTTTGTCAGGTGGCTGCTCATGAGTGTGGTTGCTTCATGGCTGCTGTGTTGCGCTGACAGCACAACACAGCCATTCGCCCATGAGGCTGTGCACAAGAGAGCAGCTGCCCGGCAACCCCAAAACAATAAACCCTCCCCTCATAATAAGGCCCAAGCCATATTTTGTTTGTAAAAAGAAAATAAGACCCTGTCTTATTTTGGGGGAAACACGGTAGAAGTAAAAAGAACAATCTTGGTAGTCAGAATATCTTGATGAAGGCTCAATCAGTACAAACAGTAGCTAATTTTGTGCTGCTAGGAAGCATCAAAGAAGAATAACGGGTTTATTCCAAACTCTGAATAGAGTGACTCCACAATGAGAATTTCAACTACCTTGTGTTTTGATGAGGCAAATATTTCATAAATGTATCAGGTATACCATCATAGAGAATAGTGATAATACATACCTTCCTTACTTGCTTTTCACACAGGCATGCAAGGAAGTAAGGTGATAGGTTACATGGCCCTACCTGTGACAGTAAAATTGGCCAAGGAAACAATTTTTAAGGGCAAGATTAAAATAAACATTAAAATCCCACCATAAAACAATGAAAGTGCACTCGCCGCCTGTTTTTTCATCTTTCTTTATACAAGCAGTCCTAAAAGTGAGCCCACTTAAAAAAACAAGTCAGAGCAATGCATTATTTTCAAAATCAGCCATGAACATCACAGCAGCCAATATAAAATGCCTTTCTCTGACAGTTGCATTAAGTTTTCTTCTTCATAAGGCAGACTTTTGCATTTTCAAAGCTCAATGAAACACAACTTTTTGCCATCTGCATTGTAAAAACTTCAGGGATAATATTCAGGATGCAGTTCAAAAGTCTAACTTCCCCATGGCACAGTTTTTAATATGAGTGTACAGCCAAGGTGACGCAGTGGTTAAATGCAGCACTGCAGGCTACTTCAGCTGACTGCAGTTCTGCAGTTCAGCGGTTCAAATCTCACCGGCTCAAGGTTGACTCAGCCTTCCATCCTTCCGAGGTGGGTAAAATGAGGACCCGGATTGTTGTTGGGGGCAATATGCTGACTCTGTAAACCGCTTAGAGAGGGCTGAAAGCCCTATGAAGCGGTATATAAGTCTAACTGCTATTGCTATTGCTATTACCTGTCAAAGAAGCAGCAATTATTTTCTGAGTCCCAAAATGGTTTTCTGTCCCAAACATACTGTATTTTTTGGAGTATAAGGTGCACCTTCCCCCCCCCCCAAAAGAGGGTGAAAATCTGGGTGCGTCTTATGCACTCAATACAGCATTTTTGGCCTCCTGAAACCCCACCCCCTTTGCAAAAATGGACGTGCAGAGGGTTTGGGAGGCCTGCAAAGTGCTCCTGGGGGGCTGGGGAATGCAAAAATGAGCAAAAAAATGGCCATTTTTTGTTCATTTTTGCCCTCCCCCAGCCCCCAGGAGCAGTCTACAAGCCTCCCAAAGCCTATGCATGCCGTTTTTGTGAAAAATGAAATGGGTCATTTTTTGCTCATTTTTGGGGGGAGGCAGCCCCCAGGAGCACTTTGCAACTCTCAAACTCTCTGCAGGCCGTTTTTCACAAAAACTAGGTGTGCAGAGGGTTTGGGAGGTCTGTAGAGTGCAAAAACTTTTTTTAAATTTATCTCTCCAAAATCTTAGTGCGTCTTATAGTCCGAAAAATATGGTAAGTAATTGCATGTTCTTTCTTTCCCCTTTCTCTCTTCAAGGGGCTCTAGCAAATGATAATTGTACCTTCCATTTGATTTGCTAATTTGCTTTTTCAGTTTTCACTGCAGGAATAAATAGATAATAAGTGATCTAGGAAACAAACAAAAAAGCAAGCTGCAAGAACAGTGTCACTTAAACAATCTCATTTGTTCCAAGATTGGAGTAAAAAGTGGTACCCCCAACTAATTTGGGGGAAAATGGCCCTTTCCTCCCATCATCTCTGATTGGAAAGTTTCCTATTTGATTAAAGACCACCAGCTTCAATAAGATATAATTCTTTAATGTGATCTTTAAAGCTTTTCCAAATTAGTGGTCATAATTACATGCTCTAATTATAAAGGTCCCTTATTGAATGAACACATGTTTTATGCTGTCCTGTGCTAAGAGTTCCTATTGTTACGATAATGGAGACAAAGCTTCATCTTACATTTTTGTGTAATGAGTTGTTCTACCTGCTAAGGATACTCAAACCACATTCAAGACTTCACGTCATGAATGCCTATACACCTTCATGTTTGCGTATTTATTTGCTGAAAGGTCTTACATGAAAATGAAATCATAAGTCCTCAAAGAACCCAAAGAATCAGACTCAGTATGGAACACTATCATTAGCAAACCAAAGAAAATGTATGACAAAGTAGTTTGAGTTGTCTTGTGTCTTCCCTGAGACAAGGTGCTTATATTGCACTGTTTGCAGAAAACCCAATGAAAAGTGTGATGGCACCTTTGTATCAGATGAAGAAGACTGCAATCCATTTGTTAGTCTTGAAAATGCCATAAGGTGTTTGTTGTTCTTGGATTCCCCTTTTTCCTCCCCTTTGAAATATATTTTATTGGTAGACACTGAACTAGAGTCTTTTTGAGTGGGTAGCTACAGTGATCTAAATAAAGACAACAAAATGAATTTGTGCTTATATTTTACACAGGACTTTCCACTGAGGAAGGCTTCTCTGATTCAGTGACCAGTCAGCCTGTGCAACCAAAGGAAAATGTAGCCCCCCAACTGGTGACAAGCCCCTCTGACCAATTTCTGACCACTCCTGACGGAGATGAGAAAGACATATGCCAAGACAGCGCAGAATCCAAATCCACGAAGAAAGATTTGTTGGAGATAGACAGGTTTACCATTTGTGGAAATCGAATTGACTAGCAGTCTGTGAGTGGGAGACTGAACAGTTGGAACAGAAAGGGCAGTCAGTGACAGACAGATGCCAAATAGGCATACCAATATTTATTTAAAACTTAAATTATCAACAACAAATCTATTGACAAGGGTGTAAGTTGGCTTGAAAAATGGATCAAGTGTCAGCTTTGTAACCTTGGTATTTTGAAAAATGATTTTTTTAAAAGAAGAAACCAATGACAGTTGGACAGAGCTGCAGTGTCGCTTTTCTGAAAAGTGACCTACCTTTAAAACCCTTTTCCTGTATGAATCTGTGCTTCCTTCACACTTCGTTTTGCCAGAGAATTTGGAACAGAGAATTTTGAAAAGTTCTTGAGAAGCACCTCTCTTCTTGCCATTTTTTCCCCGATTTACAGGAAAATAAATAATCAGGATAAACTTACCCCCAGGTGATGGCTCAAAATGCATTTCATCTAACTAAAATGGACCATCCTTTAAGATTTTCTATTAATTGTTTTCATCCTAAATCTTAAACTTTTAAATCGGAAATTGATCATAACAAGGAAAGAGTTGAAAGTTTGAAGGAACAAGAAGTCAGGAGCTTATCTTTGCTCTTCAGCATTTTAAGTATCAAGGTAGAAATCAGTAGGCTTCAGTTCCAGCTGCCAGCCTATTCACTGTGCAACTATTTTCTTTGCATTATATGTCAAACAACTGAAGATTATTTCTTTTTTTGCTTTGGCTGGAAAAGCTGCATGTTGCCAAAATGACAGACTGAAATAGATTTTCCTGAAAACCAGCTTTATGAAACTAGCGTTTTGAAATACGAAGCAGCTTCACTTGATGCGTATAGAGGAGTGCACAGAAGATTAAGACAAGAATTATGGTTCTTTTTAGCTCCACATATTTAAGAGCAAATTTATACTCAAGGTGCTCCTTTCTTCTCTATCCTCAATGCCTAAGGAACACAATGCAATATCAAGTGTCTTTTTTTTTTAAATAAAAAGCAAAATTGTGTGTGTTGAATAATAAGCAAATCTTTGGCAACTTACTTCTTAGCTGTTGCAGAGTGGCCAAAACAAATGTTTGAAGTCCAGAATACATTTATTATTTCCCCAAAGTTGAGAGGATGAATATGTGGGAATGGTATCCTGACAAGCAGGTTCCAAGAAAGAAGGCAGTATGGATAGTCAAGTGTTTCTAATAATTTTCTCCTCATGCTGCCAACCTCCTTTGACCAGCTTCTCAACTTAAGAGAACATTTTGGGAGAAATATAAAGCTTGAAGTTGAAGTTTACAAGATATTAATTTCATAAACGTACTGCTTCTGACAAATTTGATTCATTAAAATTAAATTCAGAACATTTGTTACATCTTGTAATTTGATTTTATTTAAATGTAGCTGAAAGGAAGCTTGGAATGACCTTTTCCTTGTAAAACAATTATGTATGGATTTTATAATTGCATCTTGTGTGTCAAAATAAAAACTAAATTTTGTAGCCTTTGTTTACAAAAGAAAACAGCAACCACATATTCAAGACTCCCAGCTTTTTTGCTAGAATTTGAAGGATGAGGAAGCAAATTGAGTTTTACTTCAGATCCATCCATCCTCAAGTATTGTACACACTTATAGGAGATACGATTCTTCCAGCAGGAGCCTTAAAGATTGATGGGTTGTCCATGTTCATGTGAAAAATGCTGTTGGCAGGTTCATGTATCTCTGACTACAAAGAGGATCTGTTTGTTCTCTTGTGCTGTTGAAGCTCTATATTTCTTGGCTAGAATCCTGGCTAAGGCCCTTTTGGTTTTATCGGATGCTAAAATTCTATTGGCATCAGTCTGTTGGGAAAATAAGCTGTTTTAAGCATTTCTTCGTTCTAAGAAAGCAAAAATTGACCTGAAATCTGTTGAACTAGACATAATTTCAACTAAAAAAAAATCTTAAACCCCCCCCCCGTTCATTATGATATCCTACTTTTTTCCTCTATTTTGTATTCTTTTGATGATAGGATTTTGATTACACTTACTAGAATTGGTCCATTACCACCACCTAAGATTTTTATGCAGCATATATCTCATCAAACACAAATCAACTTTTAATCATTCAATATCCTCCCTCCCTCCCTCCCTCCCTCCCTCCATCCATCCATCCATCCATCTATCTATCTATCTCTTACAGACACACACACACACTTTAACAAAGCTTTGTTCTCAACTCAGAAAGTAGTAAATAAATACAATCTTATCTATTTAAACCAAATCCTGCAATACAACCAAATGCAGATATATTCATGAATCAAATAAATCTAGGAATTGATGAGAATAGAGTGAAATAACCAGACCTGCCTTTGAACTTTTTAAAGAGCATCAAGCCTTTACAGAAATGAAATTAATTAACTCAATTTAAGTCCCACCCAAGTCCAAACTGACTCTGAGCAGTGTACTATAAACAAAATAGAAAATACAATATGAATAGAAGACAATAGAATTTTATTGTGATTTTAAATGTACACTAATCAGCATACATTAAAATGAAATTTCTTTGCATTCAGCTCTCAAAGGATAACCATTAGGCAAATAGCCACATACACCAACATATGACACACAGAACCATAACAGTCTAGTTCAAATGTATACATATACATGGCGGGGGGGAAAGAATCCTGTGAGTTTACAAGACGGCATGGAGAACAAATCTGTTGCAGAATCTAGTGCTGCTATAAATACTTCAAAACCTCTTCCCAGAGGGAAGCAGCAGAAACAGATCATGAAGTAGGTGTGTGGGCTCTCTAACAATGCTTTGAGCACATAGTGCTCATAAGCAGTATTCTGAATATCAGGAAGTGAGCTTCCTATAATCTCAGCTGTCCTTACCACTCTACGGACCTATCTGAGGCACTGCTAGCACCAACCAAACAGTTATACAGTTTGTTAAAACGCTCTCATGCCTCTGTAAAAAGTGTCCAGGATATAAGGAGAAAGATCTGCTCTCCTCAATTGATGCAGGAAATGCAAACGCTGATTTGTATGCTTCATTAAAAATAACGTATGAAGAGACCAAGTCTGGTTATTAGTTATCTGTATCTAAATACTTAATATTGTTGACCATCTCCATAGCTGCAGCCTTGATAAAAAGTGGAGTGTGATTATGCTGGCTCTTTCTAAAATCAACGATGATCTTTGTTTTATTAACATTCAGAACCAGGTTATTTTAAAGCCCTTCATGGTATTGGACCTGGGTACTTGAGAGACCGCCTGCTGCCAATTACCTCCACTAGACCGATTAGATCCCACAGATTAGGCCTCCTCCGAATTCCATCTGCCGGTCAGTGTCGACTGGCGACTACTCGGAGGAGAGTCTTCTCTGTGGCTGCTCCGACCCTCTGGAACGAGCTCCTCGTGGAGATTCGCACCCTCACCATCCATCCTTCCTTCCTTTCTCCCTATCT